TTTATTTTCTTTTTTGAGATGGAGTCTCGCTTTGTTGCCCAAACTGGAGTGCAGTGGTGTGATCTCAGCTCATTGCAACCGCCACCTTCCAGGTTCAAGCGATTCTCCTGCCTAAGCCTCCTGAGTAGCTGGGATTACAGGTTCACGCCACTATGCCTGGCTAATTTTTGTATTTTTAGTAGGGATGGGGTTTCACCATGTTGGTCAGGCTGGTCTCGAATTCCTGACCTCATGATCCACCTGCCTCTGCCTCCCAAAGTGCTGGGATTACAGGCGTGAGCCACCATGCCTGGCCAGAAAACCATATTATTTTTTCAATAAGAAAACCACCTGGCTGGGTGCAGTGGCTCCTGCCTGTAATCTCAGCACTTTGAGAGGCCAAGGTGGGTGGATCATCAGGTCAGGAGTTCAAGACCAGCCTGACCAACATGGTAAAACCCCGTCTTTACTAAAATACAAAAAATAAGCCAGGCGTGGTGATGCATACCTGTAGTCCCAGCTACTAAGGAGGCTGAGGCAGGGGAATTGCTTGAACCCAGGAGGCAGAGGTTGCAATGAGCCGAGATAACACCACTGCACTCCAGCCTGGCAACAGAGCAAGACTCTGTCTTTAAAAAAAAAGAAAACCTGATGCATATTTTCTAAAGACCAAGATATTCGGATGTTCTATTCATAGTATAGTATTTTTGCATACCTGAATAAAACACGTAATTTAAACATTGTTAGTGACCGAAGCCACCATATTTGGGAAAAGGCAAGAAATTTCAGCAACTGTTTAAACTGCTTATAAATATAGTATGCCAAAGCTGGAAGTTTACTCAGTAGGAAGAGTAGCTTAGACAGAAAGCTTCTCCGAGGTTCTATGACTGGCTAGGTACCCTACCTACAAATTCTCAGAGAACCCTGTGCTTGTCCTTACTGTCACATCCAACGTGTTGTGTTATAACTGCTTAACTGCTAGTCTCTGTAATTATATACTGCAGGCTCCTTGAGGGCAGGGACTGTGCTGGTTCACTGAAGTACCCTTTGTGCCTGACATACAGTAAGGACTCCATAAATAATTGTTTGATAACTATTGAATGAATCACCAGCCATCTTCTCTCATTGATCTGCTGGGAGCAACAGAAGCAGGCAGGAATAGCACCACATGACAGGAATAAGAGGCATGGTTACCAAGAGCCTTGTGTTTGGTGTTTGCCAGGTGGACAAAGGCTCCCATCAAAGTATGACTGATGGAATACTCAAGCATGTCCATTTGATAGTGTCCCTACAGTATGACATACTATACTTACCTATTATGAGTGACACCAAAGAATACATGATATTCTGGCTGGGATCATTTTGACTGTTAAGCCAACTCCTATGTACCCCTTACCAAAATTTGCAAACTGTGTATTAATCACAAGCAACTAAGCACCAAGAACACTATTCAAGAGAGGAAAAACGGGTTAGGGTGGGTTATATTTTACTAGGAAATTCCTCTGGCTATATTCTATAGGAATTAGGTGCAATATCCATTGTGCAATTGCTTAGCATAGTGTTTGGTAAAGGATTACCAAAGCCTCTTTCCCTTCTGCATGAGCATTTGACCTTTTGTTCACTTTCTAGCTCTGTTCCCCTGGCAACCTAATAAAAATTCATATGTCAACTGCTAGGCAACATTACATATGGTAGAAATGACCCCCAATTGGCGAACTGCATCTGGACTAGGAGAACTATACATGCCTGATAGGAAGCCGCAGCCCTGGGCTTCCCTAAGTACAGTGTGACTCTTGGAACAGACATGTCTTTTATAGGGACCCTGGAGGCCATGTCTATGAAGCTGTTCTAAGAGATACGTGTTCCCATGGGACAAGGGGCTCTTAAGCGAGGGCAGCTTCCAAACTTGCCCCATGTGGATCTGTCTCCTTGCACCTGAACTATGCCACACAGACAGCTGCAGAGACTTCCAGAGAAGAGCAACTGGTTCTGGCTCGCTAGTAAGCAGTGTTTCCCATCTTATATCCTAAGTGAATCTGATGCCAAGTGTGGCATCAGATTATAAACAGATTATAAGCAGATTATAAACATCAGTTTATAAATGTGAATGTTTCTAAACCTTCAGTTGAGCCTAAGACCCCTGGAGGCCAGTGCAGGGGTCTGGCCTCTATTGCATGTTTTTCTGATGGCAATAGATGCTCTTCAGGGGCTATGGATGGTAAAAGATGAGAAGCTGTTTGGTATGTTTTTCTGCTTCCAAAAGAATCCTGACCATACTCTTCACTGTCTGCATGACAGATAATCCATATCCATTACATGTCACCAAGACCTGTATATGAAACAACTGATGCTTTCCCTCAAAATCCCCAAGCTTGTTACTACTAAACCTTCCTCATCAAAGCACATAATCCCTTCCCTAACCTCCACTGATTAACTGACAAAGGTCCAGAAATCAAATGATGGATATAAAAATTGCCCCCCAAAACCACAATTGTCAATGAAGAATTGGCAGAAGCAAAATAACCTACCTGGAGGGTCAAGACGATGCTAAATGTTCCCCTTCAGTTATGAAGTTTCCATCTCATCTGATCATGCAATCATGTGAGTTACTGTCACCTTTTAAAACTAGGACATGTCTAGGAACCAACCAAACTACTACTAACCCCAAAACACTTTTCATTTTTCTCTACAGAAGCATCATTTAAGAAAAGAATTCAAATTTCCAGCACTGCAATGAAAGGTTTGTGGAACACAGTACTGTTGAGAGGAAAAAGAGAACTACAAAAGCACAAAAATCTGAAAACAGTGCCTGTGATATGCACCTGAATAAAGTGCCCCCTTATCAGGTTAGAAGATAGTGTGATCACATCAAAACACAAGACAAGCTACCAGAGACCAGCAACAATGGGAAGCACAGTGGGAATGCTCAAAACAGAGCACATTGGAGCTTCTCACCCACCCCAATCCTCCCAATCCTTTGCCCCTCCCTACCCCGTTACACTAGACTTCACAGAGATCATTCCCTTAATGCACAAGGGACACACACGAGAAAAACCTAGAGTTCCAAGTAAAACAGTCTGAGTTCAGTTGACCAAAGGCCACTCCACTCTTCCCTACAGCTCGCAGAACCAGTGCATGCAGCCCTACCTGTTGCCTTTCTCTCCCTGGGGTTTGTCACAACATCCATTAACAGTAACAAAAAACCCATCTCAGTATTCCAAACCACCAGAATACTTAATTCCATTACATTTTGCAGACCACTAGGTCAGCAGCTTCCTTAAGGAACATTCAAAGTCTGGTGGCTACCAAAATATTTACATCAGAATGGCATCTTTCTGCCAAATGATCAGAATCATGATGCACTATGTCATTTCTTAATTATTATAGGTAAGGCCCTATTTGCATGCCTTCTCAACTTTTGAGAAGGGGGTCCTCATCCCCCAAGAGAAATAACTTCTCAAGAATGTCATTTTGGAATTCCATTACAAGTAAGAGTCCTGTTCCCATCTATGTAATATATCTAATATGAGACAAAAATATCCCTTTGTGAACTTGGGCGGAATGTGCCAGAATAGAAACTAAACCACTAACAGTCTGTGTTGGGCTCAACTGTAAATTTACTTAGTATAAAAATATCACCAACCCCACAAATTAAACCTCAAAGACACTGTGATTATAAATACTGATCACCTAATGGGAACATAAATTTAAAAGAGGACCAATTTATGATCTGATAGTCTAGACAAAGGAAGTATCTCCTTTAAAAGTGACAGAATTCAGTGATCCAGTTTTTACCAGTGCCTATACACAAACCCTGAACAGTCTACCAGGAATGCAAGAATCTGAGATATTATGGAAGAAAGAGAATCATTTAAATAACAAGCGTCACATTCTGTTTTCCTCCTAGTGATTCTACCTCTTTAAAAATTAACAAAATGATCAGAACCTAGTAATGGTTCTGGATGTATAAATGAGTCAGAATTTTCTAAGTTTACACATTATAAACCTAAATCAGATCTTGGGCAAGCTGTGAACCATCTGGCCTCAGCTTCTCATTTTGCTAATCCACTGTTTTCTAAAACTTGTGAGAGCATAAAGGCCTATTAAATATGAAGGTCAGCCAGGCATGGTGGCTCACGCCTATAATCTCTGCACTTTGGGAGGCTGAGGCAGGCAGATCACTTGAGGTCAGGAGTTCAAGACCAGCCTGGCCGACATGGTGAAACCCCGTCTCTACTAAAAATACAAAAATTAGCCGGGTGTGGTGGCGCATGCCTATAGTCCCAGCTACTCGGGAGGCTGAGGCAGAAGAATCACCTGAATCTGTGAGATGGAGGTTGCAGCAAGCCGAGATCACACCATTGGACTCCAGCCTAGGTGACAAGAGCGAAACTCCATCTCAAAATAAATACATACATAAAATTAAAAATAAATAAATAAATATTATGAAGGTAAAAGGTAGCTTAATATAGAACACAAAATTGAGTCCATTCATGACAGATCCCTTTAAAAAAATCCTACTTTATCTCACAGCAGAGTTTCTCAACCTTGTTACTACTGATATTTTGAATTAGACAATTCTTTCTTGTGAGGACTGTCCTGTGCATTTTAGGATGTTTGGCAGCTTCTCCGGCCTCTACACACTAGATGCCAGTAGCAACCTGACAGGCACAAAAATCACCCCCAACTGAGAATCACTGTCCTACAGTGAAATCTCTACTGTAAAATGTTTTACCCAGTGATATGAATAGGTCACGGAATCACTGAAGACCATAGCTCCACTGGAGAAAGCAGGCAGAAAAGTTGAATTATGAGGTAGAAAAGTCATCAAAACATCAGAGATAATTTTAACAGAGAAAGCAAAAATATCAAACACTGTTCCTGGCCAAGTAGATCTTCTACACATCCATTTAGGTTTCCTTTTTGCTGAGGTCCCACTTTTAAAATAACAGTTAATGTTTTTATTTCAGATAAGTATCTCTGGTCTCTGATAATTTTCTTGATCTACAATGATATTTTTCTTTCTTATTTATTTATTTTTTGAGACAGGGTTTCACTCTGTTGCCCAGGCTGGAGGGCAGGGCACGATCTCAGTTCACTGCAACCTCTGCCTCCTGGGCTCAAGTGATGCTTGTAGCTGGGATTACAGGCACGTGCCACCACTCCTGGCTAGCTTTTGTAGGGGTTTCGCCATGTTAGCCAGGTTGGTCTCAAACTCCTGACCTCAAATGTTCCACCTGCCTCAGTCTCCCAAAGTGCTAGGATTACAGGTGCGAGCCACTGCCCTCAGTCAAGAACGATATTTATCAAACTACCTGTGTTAAAAGAAGTTTTAAAATTTCCAATCTACTGCAAACCAATATGTGGTCCTACTATCCAACTTCTGCACCATGTGGGTCTCTAGCTAAGCAGACCTGAGCTGGTCTATACCCCACTCAAGAAGACAAAACCATGAGTCACAGCAATGTCAAAGTGTTATCAATGTTTCTATGTGCATAGTCTTAATTTCTGACATTCCTTGTAGCAGACTGGTTGAAAACAATTTACAGAACAGTGCCTATCTGTGGGCCACAGTTTGAATTACACTGTTGCAGTTTTAACTACTATTGAAAAGTACCTCTTAAACACTTTTCTATGCTTTGGCTAACATTTACAAGCCAACTGATAATGTCTTTGACTTTTGTTGTTCAAGAGACAGAAAGAAAAGTGACTTTACCACCTTTTGAAACACAACTATACTTAAAGGAAGAAAAGATTTCTTTTAAAATCTGTTTTGGATATTTTAACATAAGACAAAACTATGGGAAGTGCCTTCAATTACATTCCTAATTCCTAATACTGCCTGCCCTTTAGCCCTTTAGAGTTTCAGCCTCTTTTGTTACAATAATTGTGTGGCTGCGAAAAGTAGACTGCTTTTAAAAGTAGACTACTAACCTTCCCTTTCCCTCACGAGGATCTTTTGAACGATGAACGTTTTAGAAATGTAACTTGGTGATATGGGCTTATACTTTCCCTCCAATTAAAATTCTAGGCAATGAGGTAGAAGGCAGGACTCAACTTCAAAGACCGGACTCAGACATGGACCAAATTGAGGACTAGCTAAAACAGGGCAGTGGTGGTGGGGGGTGCAGGAAGCAGCTTTCCATAAGAAATGCTCATCACTGTGCCATGTTAATTACCATTGCCATGGCAACACCTGGAAGTCACTGCTCCTTATGATGGCAACCACCCAGCGACTTGGAAGTTACCACCACTTTCCTAAATATTGCTGCATAATCTGCTCCTTAATTTGTATTTAACTGAAAGTGGGTATAAATATGAGTAACGACTGGCCTCTGAGCTGCCACTCTGGGCACACTGCCTGTGGGGTAGCCCTGCTCCGCGAGGAGCGGCCCCTCTGCTGCTGCTGTGCACTACTGCTTCAATACAAGCTGCTGTCTAACACCACTGGCTCACCCTTGAATTATTTCCTGGGTGAAGCCAAGAGCTCCCCTGGGCTAAGCCCCAATTTTTGGGCTCACCTGCCCTGCATCAGCATAAACTAAGTAAAAGAATGTCAAGGGCGGCTACATTTCCAAGTTACACAGCTCTAACTTTTAGAAAATGCTGGAAAATGTAGGGGAGCATTTTGAGTTTTGCCCAAATGACTTGTTTTATGATAACAGAACAGGTTGTATGTATAGAATCGTCAAATACCAAACCAGACAGGGAAACCATCCAGACCTGGGCTCACAGCCTCCCTTTTCAGGGCTAAATTAAAATGTAATTCAACTGGGCAAGTTAGGATGCCATAATGAGTCTTTCAGATCATCCCCATGTTTGTCTACCCATAAATACTGCAAGCCTTTAAAACTGCCGTCCTAGATTTAGAGAGTACCTTTTATGATCATGTAGCCAGACCTCCCTGCCTGCTTTATATCAATGAAGGTTTCTCTTTAATACTTTGCCAGAAAATTTAATGTGGAATTCATTAGGAAAGGCCTGGCAAAGGCAAAACTGATCCCACAACTTAAGGGTTTTCAGAGAAAGAGGATAACAAAGGAATGCAGAGGACTGAGTCAATAGAAAAACAAACATGGATATTTTCTTATCTTTCTCCTAACCAGAGTTTGGACGCACAGCAAGAAAAACAGGAGACCTCAGAACCTGCCTTGATTCACTCAGAACTAAGGAGTGGCCAGCAAAGCCCTCAGAAACCAAGGGCACCACACAAAAAAGTTATCTGTCCTTTGAGTCACAAAATCCAACCTATATTAGATAGTCTAATAAAAATGCACATAACATTAACAGTGAAAAAATGTTCCTCTCAGGGTTCCACAAAATTGGACAAATGGTGTCTTTCGGCAACAGAGTGTGCACTAACAAGTTCTAAAACTTCTCTCCCACCAGTTTATTGCTACGTAAGTGTCTCTCGATCTGATAAGTTGGGACGAATTTGTGGTTTGTCATCAGAATCATCTCCAGTGGGGTCATTTTCCTCACCCGACTCCACATAGATTGGCCAGTCATTGTCTGTATCACTCTTTTCTTGGCTTTCGGATGAAGCTTCCACCAAGCTAAGATTGATGGGCATCAAATCATCGTCATCGTCGGGTGTGTCTGTAACGCAGGTGCAGCTGTCACACAGCCCAAAGCGCCGCAGCCCCTGGGACAGATGACTCGTGAATGTTCTTCTGCAGCCCTTGCAGATGATTGGACGGTTGGATCTGTGGACCTGTAATCACAAGCGGACCCAATAAATGTCACAAAAAAGGAGATGAGCCTTTTCCACAAGCCCCTTGTAATCTGGCCCCTGCCTGACCCCCCAGACTCCTTTCTCCTCACTCCACCTGCATTCTCTGCCACAGTCTTTGTGTTAGTCTGTTCTTGCACCACTACAAAGAAATACCTGAGATTGGGTAATTTATGAAGAAAAGAGGTTTAATTGGCTGACAGTTCCACAGGCTGTATAGGAAGCATGATGCTGGCATCTGCTCGGCTTTTAGGGAGTCCTCAGGAAACTTACAATCATGGCAGAAGGCAAAGGGGGAGCGGGTACTTCACATGGCCAGAGCAGTGGGCAGAGAGAAGGGGGAGGCACCACATTTTTTCAAACAACCAGCTGGTACGAGAACTCACTATCATGATGACAGCACCAAGGAGGGATGGCATTAAACCATAAGAAACTGTCCCCATGATCCAATCACCTCCCACAAGGCCCCACTTCCAGCATTGGGGATTACATTTCAACATGAGGTTTGGGTGGGGACAGAGATCCAACCATATGAGTCTTCATCTTACCAAGGTTCTTTCCACCCCAGAGCCATTGGACACATGTGGAACATTCCCTTCTCCCCATCATCAACCCCTCACCCCAATGAACACTTTGGAAGGAGGTCTTTTCTAATGCTCTAGGCCAGTTAGGGCCCCCAGCTAGTGATTCTCACCCATACTTCTTCCTTTGCTGTACTTCTCACAAATTGTTGATAAAATTCACTAAAGTGTAAGCTCCAAGAGGGCAGGGACAGAGTCTGTCTCATTCCTTACTGTATCCCTAGTGCTTGGCACACAAAGGGCACTCAAGTGAAAGTGAACTGATTAGGATTTTTTTTTCTTTTTCAGAGACAGGGTCTTGCTCTGTCACCCAGGCTAGAGTGCAGTGACATGATCATAGCTCACTAATGGGCTCAAGTGATCCTTCTGTCCCAGCCTCTCAAGAAGCTGGGACCACAGGCACCCATGCACCACCATGCCTGGCTAATTTTTTTATTTCTTGTAGAGGTATCACTATGTTGCCCAGGCTGGTCTCGAACTCCTGGTCTAAAGTGATCCTTCCACCTTGGCCTTCTAAGGTGTTGAGATATCAAGCGTGAGCCAGGATACCTGCATACTGGGCCAGGATTTTTTTTTTTTCCTTTTTAGAGATGGGGTCTTGCTGTCTTGCTATGTTGCCCAGGCTGGACTTGAACTTTTGGGCTCAAGTGATCATCCTGCCTCAGTCTCCCAAGTAGCTGGGAATATAGGTGTGCACCACTGTCTTTGGCTTTCATTAGGATTTTTGACATTTTTTCCCCCTCTCATTAGACACCTTTGGTAATTAACATAGTTTTTTATGTACCTTGGATTGTTTAATTATTAGGAAGGCAGATTTGTTAGAGTAGATAGCTATATTCCCCAGATGTGCCAGCAGCTGCTTTGCTCTTGACTTTCTCATTGGTAAATGTGTCACTTACATATGAGAAGAGCTTTGCATACTAGAAAAGGGAAGCTGATTTCCTACCCCACACAGCTCATCCTAAAGGCAGCAGTCCCAGGGGTCCCCTCTGTATAAGGAACTTTTTTTTTTTTTAATTGAGTGGTATTTTTGTTTTTGTTTTTTGAGACAGAGTCTTGCTCTGTCACCCAGGCTGGAGTGCAGTGGCCCTATCTCGGTGCACTGCAACCTCCGTCTCCCCGGTTCAAGCGATTTCCCGCCTCCCTCCTGACAAGCTGGGACTACAGGCAGGTGCCACCATGCCTGGGTAATTTTTTTTTTTTGTATTTTTAGTAGAGAGGGGTTCTGCCACATTGGCAAGACTGGTCTCAAACTCCTGACCTCAGATGATCTGCCCCCCTCAGCCTCCCAAAGTGCTTGGATTACAGGTGTGAGCCACCACACTAGGCCTAGGAACTATCTTTTAACATGTACACTTTTCAAGAACTCCCGCCAATAGGGGCTCTGTGAGCCAATCACAGCCTCCCGTTTAAAGAGCTCTGGATGCAAGATACACACAAGAGGCAGAGACGGGGAGAGGCTGATGCAGGAGCACCAGTCCACAATTAGAATAGTCCTAGCGGGTGGAAAGTGGCATCTCAGGGTGGCTTTGATTTGCATTTACCCTATGACTAATGATGTTGAGCATCTTTTCATGTGCTTATTGGCCATTTGACTATGTTTTCCCAAGAAATGTCTATTCAAATCCTTTGCCCAGGTTTAATATTCATCCTTTTACTGTTACATTATAAAATTCTTTATTTATTCTGGATACTAGACTCTTAACAGATATATGCCTTGCAAATATTTTCTCCCATTCTGAGGGTTTTCATATTCTTAAGAGTGTCCACTGAAGTTCAAACTATTTGTATGTTAGATTTCCCAAACACTGATTGTCTTGCTCAAAGATGATCATAGCTGCACATGGTGGCTCATTCCTATAATTCCAACACTTTGGGAGGCTGAAGCAGGCAGATTGCTTGAGCCCAGGAGTTCAAGATAGCCTGGGTAACCTGGCAAAACCCTGTCTCTACAAAAAAAATTCAAACATTAGCTGAGTGTGGTAGTGTGTGCCTGTGGTCCCAGCTACTTGGGTGGGGGCTAAGGTGGGAGGATCACCTGTGTCTTGGAAGGTCAAGGCTGCAGTGAGCTGTGATCTCTCCAACCTGGGTGACAAACTGAGACTCTGTCTCAAACAAACAAACAAAAAAGATCATAAAATGCAACATCTGCAGCCATAAAAAGGAAACAGATCATGTGTTTTGTCAGAACATGGATAGAGCTGGAGGCTATTATCCTCAGCAAACTAACATAGGAACAGAAAACCAAATACAACATGTTCTCTCTTATAAGTGGGAGCTAAATGATGAGAACTTAGGAATACAAAGAAGGTAAGAGACACTGGATTTACTGGAGGGTGGAGGCTAGGAGGCAGGAGAGGAGCAGAAAAGAAAACTAATTCCTGGGTGATGAAATAATCTGTACAAGAAACCCCTGTGACATCAGTTTACCTATATAACAAACCTTCTCATGTACCCCTGAACCTAAAAGTTTAAATAGATAAATAAATAAATGCAACATCTTTCTAAGTGGCCTGAATGCTTCTCAGCTGGTTGGAATCACCAGCTCACATGGAGACAATCCTAGGGGGCAGCTCGTTAGGGGGGAGGGTCTCCTTGGGCAGGAGCCCTCTTTGCTGCCACAGGTGGCTGTATACACGGCAGTACACCCTTCCCCCACCCCTGGTGCTGGGGTTGGGTGGGAAACTGAGGATGCAGCTTACCTTTGGTATCACACTGGTGGGAAGAGATCCACAATCCTGTCTGAGCCCTGTTCTCTACATTACAATAATCACCTCTTATCAGGATCTAAACTTTCTTGGCTCTTCCCGTTAGAAAACCGTCTGTTTTTAAAAAAAAAAAAAAAAAAAAGGCCGGGCGCAGTGGCTCACACCTGTCAGCCCAGCACTTTGGGAGGCCGAGGCTTGTGGATCACTTGAGGTCAGGAGTTCGAGACCAGCCTGGCCAACATAGTGAAACCCCATGTCAAAAAAAAACAACAACAAAAAACCGTCTGTTTTAACTTAAATTTAAAACTTAACTCTAGCATATAAAGTTTTAACTTTCTGTAAGTGCCACCACCTGAGCTTTAATTTAGTAGCAGAAACAATTTTCAAATACCCCAGTAGAAAGAGAAATGAAAGACAACTGGATTTACCCTGACATTAGATGATATCATCAATCGCTCTTGCCAGGAGGGCATGGCCAGCTCGAACTTACACTCAAGGCGTGGCTCCGCAGGTGCTCCTGTCGCGTGAACCTCTTGCCGCAGGTCTCACAGGGGTAGGGCCGCTCGCCCGTGTGTGAACGGATGTGCCGCTTGAGGATGCCCTTCTGTTTGGCAGTGTAAGGGCAGAAAGGACACTTGTGGAGCTTGATGGGGACCACCAACACATCACCTGCAGAACCAAATGCTTTCATTTAGCTATGTTGTACGCAGTGACAACCCTGGCTACCAGCCAGTGGATGGGATCCACAGCTGGGGAATTCTACCAGCCCAGATGGAGGAGGAGGACACCCACTCCACCAACAGCCAACAGCAAGATGTCGCCTGCAATTCCAACTCAGTCTGGCTCCCATTAAGCCCCAGGGCAGAGTACAGTGAACTTCTTCTAAGGTCAGGAATGCCATAAGGCACCAGCTTCCACACTTCTCTGTGACTCACAGTTAGAAACTCAGCTCACATGACAACCTCAGAACACACGTGCCTTATGAGGACAACTGGAAGTTTCTCAAAACAATACTCACTCTGATAGTGTTTATTCTATTCGGTTTCATTTTAAGACTGCTGGGTGAAACTCTGTTATGGACTGATTTGTGTCCCCCTAAAATTCATACCTTGAAGTCTGTGTTTGGAGATAAAGCCCTTAAGAAGGTAATTAAGGTTAAATGAGTTTATAATGATTAACTAACGTTAGGACTGGTTTCCTTATAAGAAGAGACACCAGAGATTGACTGATCTCTGTCTCCTCCTCTCTGCATTCCCCCCCGCCATTCCTCTCATCCCCATCCCTAGCACACACACAGAGGAAAGCCTATGTGAGGACACAGTGGGAAGGCTGCCATCTGCAATTCAGGAAGACAGACCTCACCAGAAGCCAACTCTGCTGACATCCTGATCTTGGACTTTGGCCTCTAGAACTATGAGGCTACATTTCTGCTGTTTAAGCTTCCCAGTCTGGGGCACTCTGTTGTGGCAGCCTGAGCTGACTGATACAACCCTCTGAATTGATCTCACTACCTTCAGAACTTGGAAAACTCAGTTATGATGGATCAGATTTCTAGACCAGAATTCATGCTTCTTGGACGGTAGTTCCTAAGATTGTTTTCCAGGCCTACATAGAAGAGGCTTGCTATGATACAGACCCTAAATTGTTGTTTGGAATTTATATTAACTGTACATATCTGAAATCATCAAATATCCAGGAATTCACTTAAATCCTTTTCTAATTTATTACCTCACCTTGCTCATATAACCATTAAGGTGACAGTATGATTATCGCTCACATGTATAGAAACTGTTCCGCTCAAGTTCTGTAAGTTACACTTATTGCTATGGTCTTCCCTTGGTATCAACTGGGAATTGGTTCCAGTATGCTCCTTGGATACCAAAATCCAACAATGCTTAAGTCCCAAAGTCAGTCCTGCGGATCCTGTGAATACTGTATTTTCCCATGCATGGTTAGTTGAATTCACAAATGCAGAAGCTATGGACACAGAGGGCCAACTATATTCCAAGATTTGTTCTTTATTTTATTTATTGAGATGGCATCTCACTCTGTTCCCCAGGCTGGAGTGTAGTAACACAATCTCGGCTTACTGCAACCTCTACCTCCTGGATTCAAGTGATTCTCCTGCCTCAGCCTCCGGGGTAGCTGGGATTGCAGGCACCCGCCACCACACTCAGCTAATTTTTGTATTTTTAATAGAGGTGGGGTTTCACCATGTTGGCCAGGCTGGTCTCAAACTCCTGACTTCAGGTGATCTGCCCACCTCAGCCTCCCAAAATGCTGGGATTACAGGCGTGAGCCACCATGCCCAGCCTGAGATTTATTCTCTCCATGCTCTGCGAGATTTACAGACTTTGGTTATATCATATCGTATCACCCATGAAGCACAAGTGACTCAAGCTTTCCAAGCACTGGTCAAGTCCTGGCCCTAGTACTGATCAGCCGTGTGACCCTGGACATCTCACTTAGCTTCTCTGTGCCTTACTTTCCTCATCTGTAAAACAGGTATGATAACAGTTCCCACCTCAAAAGATTGTGGTAAGAATGAAATAAAGTAACACATAAAGCAAAGCACGTGGCACATAATGAACACTTGCAAATGTCAACATTTGCACTGTCATTTCCTCAGAATTTCTTTTCACCAGGTAAGCAGTCCAGGCTCTTGTGGTCTTTGTCAACACCGGAGTAACTCTTTTTATCTGGGGCTGGCTTGGGATACCTAACTGGCTCTGTTTTTCCTGAGGTGCTATAAAAAGTATGGCACACCGAATTGAATGTGAGAATCCAGCATCCTTTATATAAAGGTGGAAACTGTCTTTGGTTTCTAGTTCCTATCCTAATAGTCCCTAACATTTTGCATAATCTACAGTGACTCTAAAATCTGTTTCCCAGGATAAAAACAGCAGCTCAAAGCTCATCCCTGCTCACATATGTGGGATTGTTAAATCTCTCACTGCTCACACTGATCCTGAGGTACAAGTAAAACAGGAATGATTATCTGTTTTGTTTTGGTTTGGTTTGTTTTCCTGAGATGGAGTCTTAATCTGTCACCCAACTTGGAGTGCAGTGGCACGATCTCAGCTCACTGCAACCTCTGCCTCCTGGGTTCAAGTGATTCTCCTGCGTCAGCCTTTGGAGAAGCTGGGATTACAGGTGCGCACCACTGCACCTGGCTTATTTTTTTATTTTTAGTAGAGACAGTTTCACCATGTTGGTCAGGCTTGTTTTGACACAGAATCTCCCTCTGTTAGCTGGGCAGGAGTGCAGTGGCATGATCATGGCTCACTGCAGCCTCTACCTCCCAGGTTCAGGTGATCCTCCCACCTCAGCTCCCCGAGTAGCTGGGATTATAGGCATGTGCCACCACATGCAGCTGATTTT